TCAGCTCTGATAAGATTAGCCCTGGTCGTAAACCTTTCATCAGCTCAGCAGGCTATAGGAAGAGCAACTCACACCTTGCTAGGGAGAGAGGAAACCAACCAACCCTGACCTAGCCTGAACTAAACTTTGCACGTCTAATCTGGATCTTCATCACGGCTGACTGTGGAATGTGCTGATTGAATTTTCAGCATTTATTTTAAGTGATTCAGGCAATCAAATGATGCCGGCTGTGTAAACATTGATTCATTCTAGGGCTGTTCAAGCTAGATGAGTTTGACACATACAGTTGAAGTCGGAAGTTTACATACACTTAGGTTGGAGTCATTAAAACTTGTTTTTCAACCACTCCACACATTTCTTGTTAACAAACTATAGTTTTGGAAAGTCGGTTAGGACATCTACTTTGTGCATGACACAAGTAATTTTCCCAACAATTGTTTACAGACAGATTATTTCACTTATAATTCACTGTATCACAATTCCAGTGGGTCAGAAGTTTACATACACTAAGTTGACTGTGCCTTTAAACAGCTTTGAAAATTCCAGAAAATCATGTCATGGCTTTAGAAGCTTCTGATAGGCTAATTGACATCATTTGTGCCAATTGGAGGTGTACCTGTGGATGTATTTCAAGGCCTACCTTCAAACTCAGTGCCTCTTTGCTTGACATCCTGGGAAAATCAAAAGAAATCAGCCAAGACCTCAGAAAAAACATTGTAGACCTCCACAAGTCTGGTTCATCCTTGGGAGCAATTTCCAAACGCCTGAAGGTACCACGTTCATCTGTACAAACAATAGTACTCAAGTATAAACACCATGGGACCACGCAAACATCATACCGCTCAGGAAGGAGACGCGTTCTGTCTCCTAGAGATGAACGTACTTTGGTGTGAAAAGTGCAAATCAATCCCAGAACAACAGCAAAGGACCTTGTGAAGATGCTGGAGGAAACAGGTACAAAAGTATATATATCCACTGTAAAACGAATCCTATATCAACATAACCTGAAAGGCCGCTCAGCAAGGAAGAAGCTACTGCTCCAAAACCGCCATAAAAAAGCCAGACTACAGTTTGCAACTGCACATGGGGACAAAGATCGTACTTTTTGGAGAAATGTCCTCTGGTCTGATGAAACACAAATATAACTGTTTGGCCATAACAGTTGGTCAAAAATATAACTGTTTGGCTGTACGCTCTTGTTGGTTGGTCCTCACTACATATTCATTGCCAAACCCACTGGCTCCAGGCCATCTATAAATCACTGCTAGGCAAATCCCCGCCTTATCTTAGCTAATTGGTCACCATAGCAACACCCACCCTTAGTATGTGCTCCAGCAGGTATATCTCACTGGTCATCCCCAAAGCCAACACCTCCTTTGGCCGCCATTCCTTCCAGTTCTCTGCTGCCAATGACTGGAACTAATTGCAAAAATCTCTGAAGCTGGAGACTTATCTCCCTCACTAACTTTAAGCATCAGTTGTCAGAGCACCTTACCGATCACTGCACCTGTACACAGCCCATCTGAAATTAGCCCGCCCAACTACCTCACCCCATATTGTTATTTATTTTGCTCATTTGCACCCCAGTATTTCTATTTGCACATAATCTCTTGCACATCTATCATTCCAGTGTTAATACTAATTGTAATTATTTTGCACTATGGCCTATTTATTGCCTTACCTCCATAACTTGCTACATTTGAACACACTGTATATATATTTTCTGTTGTATTTTTGACTTTATGTTTTGTTTTACCCCATATGTAACTCTGTGTTGTTGTTTTTAATCGCACTGTTTTGCTTTATCTTGGCCAGGTCGTAGTTGTAAATGAGAACTTGTTCTCAACTGGCTTACCTGGTTAAATAAAGGTTAAATAAATAAATAAAATAAAAATAATGACCATCGTTATGTTTGGAGGAAAAAGGGGGTTGCTTGCAAGCCGAAGAACACCATCCCAACCGTGAAGCACAGGGGTGGCAGCATCATGCTGTGGGGGTGCTTTGCTGCAGGAAGGACTGGTGCACTTCACAAAATAGATGGCATCATGAGGAAGGAAAATTATGTGGATATATTGAAGCAACAGCTCAAGACATCAGTCAGGAAGTTAAAGCTTGGTCGCAAATGCGTCTTCCAAATGGACAATGACCCCAAGCATACTTCCAAAGTTGTGGCAAAATGGCTTAAGGACAACAAAGTCAAGGTATTGGAGTGGCCATCACAAAGCCCTGACCTCAATCTCATAGAAAACCTGTGGGCAGAACTGAAAAGGCGTGTGCGAGCAAGGAGGCCTACAAACCTGACTCAGTTACACCAGCTCTGTCAGGAGGAATGGGCCAAAATTCACCCAACTTATTATGGGAAGCTTGTGGAAGGCTACATGAAACGTTTGACCCAAGTTAAACAATTTAAAGGCAATGCTACCAAATACTAATTGAGTGTATGTAAACTTCTGACCCACTGGGAATGTGATGAAAGAAATAAAAGCTGAAATAAATAATTGTCTCTACTATTATTCTGACATTTCACATTCTTAAAATAAAGTGGTGATCCTAACTGACCTAAGACAGGGAATTGTTACTAGGATTAATGGTCAGGAATTGTGAGAAACTGAGTTTAAATGTATTTGGCTAAGGTGTATGTAAACCTCTGACTTCAACTGTAGGTGAGCAGTATTGTATTAGTCATCCATCTAATTAATGAACAATCACACGTCAAGTAGACACCGCTGAGATACTGAAGAGAAAGTGAAAGTCTAAAATGAGTTGTGTGTGTCATCATCCATTTCTCAAGAAGAAGCTATCAAGTTGAAACAACAGTCCATCAATGTCAGAGTCTACATCTGTAAACGTTCTGCTGTGTAAAAATATATGCCAGCTACCACAGAAAATAAGGAGAAAAACCCCAAAATGAGATTACAGAGAAAATGGACAGAGTGAGAGGAAGAACAAAGCGGACGGTGTTTTAACTAGAGGCCATGGCCACTTCTAGATGTCACCTCGCTCGCACATACTGTTCTCTCTGTCACTTCCTGACTGGGGCCTGTGACGGATGGTGAGATATGACATGATGTCACCATTGCCGTGGTGACAAGGCTTCTGTAGATCAGCCTACCACGTCTTTAGAAAATATACATACAAATGTACAGAAATGGACTGGATTCTCTGCACTTGATTATTAGACCCCAATTTGCCTATGTACATTGACAGACTGCCTTTCACTATTTACATGACGACCAGGTATGAGTCAAAGCTGCTATTCGCAATGTAAATTCTTTCTCTTGTCTTGTCAATCAAACACACACTACATTCTCTAAGTTAGTGACTAAAGATAGATGATGTTATTGGCGACACATTTCAATGGTTCCCTGTGGGAAGTCATTACTGCAGTATATTCCTAATAATAACAACTGTTTCAAACAGATGGGCTCTATTTCTACACGTAAAGCTATTACATTTTACATTTTAGTCATTTAGCAGACGCTCTTATCCAGAGCGACTTACAGTTAGTGAACACATATATATATATTTTTTTATACTGGCCCCCCGTGGGAATCGAACCCACAACCCTGGCGTTGCAAACGCCATGCTCTATCAACTGAGCTACATCCCTGCCGGCCATTCCCTCCCCTACCCTGGACGACGCTGGGCCAATTGTGCGCCGCCCATGAGTCTCCCGGTCGCGGCCGGCTGCGACAGAGCCTGGATTTGAACCAGGATCTCTAGTGGCACAGTTAGCACTGTGATGCAGTGCCTTAGACTACTGCGCCACTCAGGAGTACAAGCTATGGAAGGTCAAACCTGTCTCCCAGCCAGAACAACCAGCTCAAGCATTCCAGATGGCCATGACACATTTTTAGAACAACTCAGTAAGACCGGAGTTACCGGGACAGGAACACAGCTAACAAGTACTTATTTTAAGTGGTCTGTATTATTCTAAGAGCCCATTGGATTCAAGTTCAGTGGACTGTAGTGAGTAGTGACTGTTCATTAGAATGTAGGAGGGGGGAAACGGCAGCTTGTTCACTAAGGATCACCAGACTCCCAGACAGACTCTTTCTTCCATTCCCTGCTGGAATGTGGAGTGCAGTCAATTACGTATATAAATCCTGAATTGCTGTTGCTATGTATTGGCCAATGAGAGGCTTTGAAGCCACCGGTCGGCCATATTGGCACTCCCCAAAAAGAAGCAGTTCGCCATAGGAATGAATGGAATTTACAAATGTTTTCCAATTAAATGTTTCAAGGACAAAATTACATGTATTTAAGTATTTCTGTTGTAATGTGGACAGTAACATTAGTTATACTTTAAGGACTTTTAAAAATGTTTAGCTCTCATAACTACATGCATGAAGGTGTCTGTAATAGAATAAATGTGGCAAAAACAAATGCAGACATTAATAAATGCATTTCTATAGCTTCCAGAACATTTCTTACAATAGTGGGGGAGTGCCAAGATGGAGGAGCGGAGGCTTCAAAACAGCGCCCTCAGTCAGTCATCTAGTGTATATATAAATCATTGGGTGCGGTTGACATTTGTAGCTTCTCTCCCTTTGATCTGATTCTCCAACACCAATTACACTGTCTGCTGACAGGGACTTGTTTAAGTCAGACTCAATCCATGTTATTACTGTAGGAACCTTCTCTCTAAAATAGCATTTATTCTCATTCCCTCTCCCTATCTCTGTTACTATCTCTCTCTCTTATCATCCATTTCTTGCTTTCTAGCCATTAATCTGTTTCTGCCATGCCAAAGCCTCCCAGAACATGAGTTAGATTGTCAGCATGTCCAGTCAGTCTGCCTGATAGCTTGTAGGAATCAGAGTGGGAAAGAGAGTGCACTGCACATGAGCACAACACACACACAGAAATTCCTCCCTGGGGTTCACAAATCTCCAACATGTCATTTTCTTTTGGAGTGGGGGACAGGGACTGGGACTGTGACAGTGGGGAAAGCCAAAGAGTCACACACACACCACAGTCCACAATGACATTGCTTGTCACAGTGCACACACACACGCCCCTCCTCCTCCTGCTGCTGACCTATTTCCCAGCCATAATGGCAGATCACAGAGCATCATGGGTAAAATCTGTGTGAATAATAACATAAACAACCCACTATTTGCAACAGTTGACTTGTTCCAATCTGTGGACCTGAGATGGAAATGAGATTGGCTAAATAGATTTGGATTGAGAGGGAGAGAGATGAGAGATCAACAGCCTTTGTTGGCATTCTAGCGTGGGATGATGAGGGGAGGAGCAGTGTTTGTCTATCCTAACTGAGCTCTTGCATAGCTTGTTCTCCGGAGCTCCTCCGGAGAGAGAGAATTGGTATCCAGAGGAGGGAGGGAGAGAGAGAAAAGAGAGAGACGCTCTAACCCTACCCTGCCCTTGCCTAAACCAAGTACCAATGTTGATGATTGCAATAATACACCATGATGCCGCTGGTCATCATAATTCCACAGAGATTGATTGGGATAGTTTATCCATCTAGTTTGCAAGGCGGACAGTTGAGCCGTTGTCTACAGATGAAAAAAAGGTGCAGGATATAAGACAACAGCTGAACAACCAGGCTACAGTGCTATGAGTGGAGAGCTGGAGAGGCTGGCATTGCCACGCAATCAGGGCCGGGCACAGCAACAGCTGCCATACCGTGTCCTGGGTTTCCCAGGGTGAGTCAGCCAAAGACGGGTCACTGTGCGGCCATCATCCACTCATGGCACGGAATGCCTGAACTTTTGATATCACTGTTCACTATGCTTGTTATATACACACACACACACACACACACACACACACACACACACACACACACACATACAGTGAGGGAAAAAAGTATTTGATCCCCTGCTGATTTTGTACGTTTGCCCACTGACAAAGAAATTATCAGTCTATAATTTTGATGGTAGGTTTATTTGAACAGTGAGAGACAGAGTAACAACAAAATCCAGAAAAACGCATGTCAAAAATGTTATCAATTGATTTGCATTTTAATGAGGGAAATACGTTTTTTGACCCCCTCTCAATCAGAAAGATTTCTGGCTCCGAGGTGTCTTTTATACAGGTAACGAGCTGTGCTCCTAATCTCAGCTCGTTACCTGTATAAAAGTAACCTGTCCACAGAAGCAATCAATCAGATTCCAAACTCTCCACCATGGCCAAGACCAAAGAGCTCTCCAATGATGTCAGGGACAGGATTGTAGACCTACACAGGGCTGGAATGGGCTACAAGACATTCGCCAAGCAGCTTGGTGAGAAGGTGACAACAGTTGGTGTGATTATTCGCAAATGGAAGAAACACAAAATAACTGTCAATCTCCCTCGGCCTGGAGCTCCATGCAAGATCTCACCTCGTGGAGTTGCAATGATCATGAGAACGGTGAGGAATCAGCCCAGAAATACACGGGAGGATCTTGTCAATGATCTCAAGGCAGCTGGGACCATAGTCACCAAGAAAACAATTGGTAACACACTACGCCGTGAAGGACTGAAATCCTGCAGCGCCCGCAAGGTCCCCCTGCTCAAGAAAGCACATATACATGCCCGTCTGAAGTTTGCCAATGAACATCTGAATGATTCAGAGGAGAACTGGGTGAAAGTGTTGTGGTCAGATGAGACCAAAATCGAGCTCTTTGGCATCAACTCAACTCGACGTGTTTGGAGGAGGAGGAATGCTGCCTATGACACCAAGAACACCATCCCCACCGTCAAACATGAGGTCGAAACATTATGCTTTGGGGGAGTTTTTCTGCTAAGGGACAGGACAACTTCACCGCATCAAAGGGACGATGGCCATGTACCGTCAAATCTTGGGTGAGAACCTCCTTCCCTCAGCCAGGGCATTGAAAATGGGTTGTGGATGGGTATTCCAGCATGACAATGACCCAAAACACACGGCCAAGGCAACAAAGGAGTGGCTCAAGAAGAAGCACATTAAGGTCCTGGAGTGGCCTAGCCAGTCTACAGACCTTAATCCCATAGAAAATCTGTGGAGGGAGCTGAAGGTTCGAGTTGCCAAACGTCAGCCTCGAAACCTTAATGACTTGGAGAAGATCTGCAAAGAGGAGTGGGACAAAATCCCTCCTGAGATGTGTGCAAACCTGGTGGCCAACTACAAGAAACGTCTGACCTCTGTGATTGCCAACAAGGGTTTTGCCACCAAGTACTAAGTCATGTTTTGCAGAGGGGTCAAATTCTTATTTCCCTCATTAAAATACAAATCAATTTATAAAAATTTTGACATGCGTTTTTCTGGATTTCTCTCACTGTTCAAATAAACCTACCATTAAAATTATAGACTGATCATGTCTTTGTCAGTGGGCTTTACGTACAAAATCAGCAGGGGATCAAATACTTTTTTCCCCTCACTGTGTGTGTGTGTGTGTGTGTGTGTGTGTGTGTGTGTGTGTGTGTGTGTGTGCGCGCACGCATATATATATATATATATATATACACACATACATACATACATACATACATACATACACACACACACACACACACACACACACAGAACAGAAATATAAATGCAACATGCAACAATTTCAAAGATTTTACTGAGTTACAGTTCATCCCTCAATTGAAATAAATAAATTAGGCCCTGATCTATGACTGGGCAGGGGGTGGCTTATGGTAGAGAAATGAACATAAAATTCTCTGGCAACAGCTCGGGTGGACATTTCTGCATTCAGCATGCCAATTGCACGCTCCCTCAAAACTTGAGACATCTGTGGCATTGTCTTGTGTGACAAAACTGCACATTTTAGAGTGGCCTTTTATTGTCCCCAGCACAAGGTGCACCTGTGTAATGATCATGCTGTTTAATCAGCTTCTTGACATGCAACACCTGTTAGGTGGATGGATTATCTTGACAAAGGAGAAAGGCTCACTAACAGGGATGTAAACTAATTTGTGCGTATGGAACATTTCTGTGATCTCTTATTTCAGCTCATGAAACATGGGACCAATACTTTATATGTTGCATTTATATTTCTGTTCAGTATATGTGGTAATTAAGGCAGTACATAAGCCATATTAAGATGACCAGGGTCGGGGTTTGAGGGTTTGCACTGACATGATGGCCATAAGTAGGTTTGAAAAAGAATGAGTGGAGAATGGCTTACCATGTGGCTCTGTGATTGGGTGGATCCATACATTGTGCCATTGGTTGGCGGGATGGGCTGCGCCGTGTCTGTTTGGACAAAGCCTCTTCTGTCGATGAGACTGAAGAGAGAGAGACATATCTGAGGAAACCATTCAATGATATTATAATATTGTAGATCCCTTCCTTAGGGCCCTATATAATCTGTGTTGCGGAGAACACGGACACAATCAAGGAATCCAGACATTAAAACGGAATTCAACAATATACTTTTTTTTATTGAACTTATTAGAAAATGTATTAATTTGCCAAAGTTAATCATAATCATAAGACATTAACAAAATGCATCAGTGAACTCCCCCACGACGCCAGGACAGCGGAGTCACTGACCACCTTCCGGAGACACTTGAAACCCTACCTCTTTAGGAATACCTGGAATAGTATAAAAGTAATCCTTCTTCCCCCACCCCCCCATAAAAAAAAGGACAAAAAGAAAGAAAATATATATATAAAAAAATAAAAGGTGGTTGTCCCACTGGCTATCATAAGTTGAATGCACCAATTTGTAAGTCGCTCTGGATAAGAGCGTCTGCTAAATGATGTAAATGTAAATGATTCGTATTTTCCTGCAACTTTCTGAAACGGCACATGAATGCGTGTGTGTATACACTACCGGTCAAAAGTTTTAGAACACCTTCTCATTCAAGGGTTTTTCTTTATTTTTAGTATTTTCTACATTGTAGAATAAAAGTGAAGACATCAAAACTATGAGATAACACATATGGAATCATGTATTAACCAAAAAGCTGTTACACAAATCAAATAATATTTTATATTTGAGATTCTTCAAATAGCCACCCTTTACCTTTACAGCTTTGCACACTCTTGGCATTCTCTCAACCAGCTTCATGAGGTAGTCACCTGGAATGCATTTCAATTAACAGGTGTGCCTTGGTAAAAGTTAATTTGTGGAATTTCTTTCTTTCTTAATGCGTTTGAGCCAATCAGTTGTGTTGTGACAAGATACAGAAGATAGCCCTATTTGGTAAAAGACCAAGTCCACATTATGGCAAGAACAGCTAAAATAAGCAAAGAGAAACGACAGTCCATCACTACTTTAAGACATGAAGGTCAGTCAATACGGAACATTTCAATAACTTTTAAAGTTTCTTCAAGTGCAGTCACAAAAACCATCAAGCGCTATGATGAAACTGGCTCTCATGAGGACCGCCACAGGAATGGAAGACCCAGAGTTACCTCTGCTGCAGAGGATAAGCACATTAGAGTTACCAGCCTCAGAAATTGCAGCCCAAATAAATGCTTCACAGAGTTCAATTAACAGACACATCTCAACATCAACTGTTCAGAGGAGACTGTGTGAATCAGGCCTTCATGGTCAAATTGCTGCAGGGAAACCACTACTAAAGGTCACAAATAAGAAGAAGAAACTTGCTTGGGCCAAGAAACACGAGCAATGGACATTAGACAGGTGGAAATTTGTCCTCTGGTCTGGAGTCCAAATTTGAGATTTTTGGTTCCAACAGCCGTGTCTTTGTGAGATGCGGTGTGGGTGAACGGATGATCTCCACATGTGTATTTCCCACCGTAAAGCATGGAGGAGGAGGTGTTATGGTGTGGGGGTGCTTTGCCGGTGACACTGTCTGTGATTTATTTAGAATTCAAGGCACACTTAACCAGCATGGCTACCACAGCATTCTGCAGCTATACGTCATCCAATCTGGTTTGGGCTTAGTGTGACTATCATTTGTTTTTCAACAGGACAATGACCCAACACACCTCCAGGCTGTGTAAGGGCTATTTTACCAAGAAGGAGAGTGATGAGTGCTGCATCAGATGACCTGGCCTCCTCAATCCCCTGACCTCAACCAGACTGAGATGGTTTGGGATGAGTCGGACCGCAGAGTGAAGGAAAAGCAGTCAACAAGTGCTCAGCATATGTGGGATCTCCTTCAAGACTGTTGGAAAAGCATGCCAGGTGAAGCTGGTTGAGAGAATGCCAAGAGTGTGCAAAGCTGTCATCAAGGCAAAGGGTGGCTATTTGAAGAATCTGAAATATAAAATATATTTTGATTTGTTTAACACTTCTTTGGTTACTACATGATTCCATTTGTGTTATTTGAAACAATGTAGAAAATAGTGAAAATAAAGAAAAAACCTTGAATGAGTAGGTGTTCTAAAACTTTTGACTGGTAGTGTATATATATACAGTGGGGAGAACAAGTATTTGATACACTGCCGATTTTGCAGGTTTTCCTACTTACAAAGCATGTAGAGGTCTGTAATCCAAATCCAGAAAATCACATTGTATGATTTTTAAGTAATTCATTTGCATTTTATTGCATGACATAAGTATTTGATACATCAGAAAAGCAGAACTTAATATTTGGTACAGAAACCTTTGTTTGCAATTACAGAGATCATATGTTTCCTGTAGGTTTTGACCAGGTTTGCACACACTGCTCCTCCATACAGACCATCTCCAGATCCTTCAGGTTCGGGGCTGTCGCTGGGCAATACGGACTTTCAGCTACCTCCAAAGATTTTCTATTGGGTTCAGGTCTGGAGACTGGCTAGGCCACTCCAGGACCTTGAGATGCTTCTTACGGAGCCACTCCTTAGTTGCCCTGGCTGTGTGTTTCGGGTCGTTGTCATGCTGGAAGACCCAGCCACGACCCATCTTCAATGCTCTTACTGAGGGAAGGAGGTTGTTGGCCAAGATCTCGCGATACATGGCCCCATCCATCCTCCCCTCAATACAGTGCATTCGTCCTGTCCCCTTTGCAGAAAAGCATCCCCAAAGAATGATGTTTCCACCTCCATGCTTCACGGTTGGGATGGTGTTCTTGGGGTTGTACTCATCCTTCTTCTTCCTCCAAACACGGCGAGTGGAGTTTAGACCAAAAAGCTCTATTTTTGTCTCATCAGACCACATGACCTTCTCCCATTCCTCCTCTGGATCTTCCAGATGGTCATTGGCAAACTTCAGACGGGCCTGGTCATGCGCTGGCTTAAGCAGGGGGACCTTGCGTGCGCTGCAGGATTTTAATCCATGACGGCGTAGTGTGTTACTAATGGTTTTCTTTGAGACTGTGGTCCCAGCTCTCTTCAGGTCATTGACCAGGTCCTGCCGTGTAGTTCTGAGATGATCCCTCACCTTCCTCATGATCATTGATGCCCCACGAGGTGAGATCTTGCATGGAGCCCCAGACCGAGGGTGATTGACCGTCATCTTGAACTTCTTCCATTTTCTAATAATTGCGCCAACAGTTGTTGCCTTCTCACCAAGCTGCTTGCCTATTGTCCTGTAGCCCATCCCAGCCTTGTGCAGGTCTACAACTTTATCCCTGATGTCCTTCCACAGCTCTCTGGTCTTGGCCATCGTGGAGAGGTTGGAGTCTGTTTGATTGAGTGTGTGGACAGGTGTCTTTTATACAGGTTACGAGTTCAAACAGGTGCAGTTAATACAGGTAATGAGTGGAGAACAGGAGGGCTTCTTAAAGAAAAGTCTGTGAGAGCCGGAATTCTTACTGGTTGGTAGGTGATCAAATACTTATGTCATGCAATAAAATGCAAATTAATTACTTAAAAATCATACAATGTGATTTTCTGGATTTTTGTTTTAGATTCCGTCTCTCACAGTTGAAGTGTACCTGTGATAAAAATTACAGACCCCTACAAGTAGGAAAACCTGCAAAATTGGCAGTGTATCAAATACTTGTTCTCCCCACTGTACATACAGTTGAAGTCGGAAGTTTACATACACTTAGGTTGGAGTCATTAAAACTAGTTTTTCAACCACTCCACACATTTCTTGTTAACAAACTATAGTTTTGGCAAGTCGGTTAGGACATCTACTTTATGCATGACACAAGTCATTTTTCAAAAAATTGTTTACAGACAGATTATTTCACTTATAATTCACTGTATCACAATTCCAGTGGGTCAGAAGTTTACATACACTAAATTGACTGTGCCTTTAAACAGCTAGGAAAAATCCAGAAAATGTAATGGCTTTAGAAGCTTCTGATAGGCTAATTGACATAATTTGAGTCAATTGAAGATGTACCTGTGGATGTATTTCAAGGCCTACCTTCAAACTAAGTGCCTCTTTGCTTGACATCATGGGAAAAATAAAAGAAATCAGCCAAGACATTTACATTTACGTCATTTAGCAGACGCTCTTATCCAGAGCGACTTACAAATAGGTGCATTCACCTTATAGCCAGTGGGGGAAAAAATGGTAGACCTACACAAGTCTGGTTCATCCTTGTGAGCAATTTCCAAACGCCTGAAGGTACCACGTTCAACTGTACAAACAATAGTACGCAACTATAAACACCATGGGACTACGCAGCCGTCATACCGCATAGGAAGGAGACGCGTTCTGTCTCCTAGAGATGAACGTACTTTGGTGCGAAAAGTGCAAATCAATCCCAGAACAACAGCAAAGGACCTTGTGAAGATGCTGGAGGAAACCGGTACAAAAGTATCTATATCCACAGTAAAACAAGTCCTATATCGACATAACCTGAAAGGCTGCTCAGCAAGGAAGAAGCCACTGCTCCAAAACCGCCATAAAAAAGCCAGACTACGGTTTGCAACTGCACATGGGGACAAAGATCGTACTTTTTGGAGAAATGTCCTCTGGTCTGATTAAACAAAAATATTATTGTTTGGCCATAATGACCATCGTTATGTTTGGAAGAAAAAGGGGGATGGTTGCTAGCCGAAGAACACCATCCCAACCGTGAAGCACGGGGGTGGCAGCATCATGCTGTGGGGGTGCTTTGCTGCAGGAGGGACTGGTGCATGTCACAAAATAGATGGCATCATGAGGAAGGAAAAATTATGTGGATATATTGAAGCAACATCTCAAGACATCAGTCAGGAAATTAAAGCTTGGTCGCAAATGGGTCTTCCAAATGGACAATGACCCCAAGCATACTTCCAAAGTTGTGGCAAAATGGCTTAAGGACAACAAAGTCAAGGTATTGGAGTGGCCATCACAAATCCTATAGAACATTTGTGGGCAGAACTGAAAAAGCGTGTGCGAGCAAGGAGGCCTACAAACCTGACTCAGTTACACTAGCTCTGTCAGGAGGAATGGGCCAAAATTCCCCAATTTATTGTGGGAAGCTTGTGGAAGGCTACCCGAAACGTTTGACCCAAGTTAAACAATTTAAAGGCAATGCTACTAAATACTAATTGAGTGTATGTAAACTTCTGACCCACTGGGAATGTGATGAAAGAACTAAAAGCTGAAATAAATCATTCTCTCTACTATTATTCTGACATTTCACATTCTTAAAATAAGGTGGTGATCCCAACTGACCTAAGACAGGGAATTTTTACTTGGATTAATGGTCAGGAATTGTGAGAAACTGAGTTTAAATGTATTTGGCTAAGGTGTATGTAAACCTCTGACTTCAACTGTAGGTGAGCAGTATTGTATTAGTCATCCATCTAATTAATGAACAATCACACGTCAAGTAGACACTGCTGAGATACTGAAGAGAAAGTGAAAGTCTAAAATGAGTTGTGTGTGTCATCATCCATTTCTCAAGAAGAAGCTATCAAGTTGAAACAACAGTCCATCAAAGTCCACACTTTGTGTAGCATATAGCGATGATGCTTATACCTTCTTCTGGTAGAGATGGAAAGGCTTTCCTAAAAACCTTCTCAATGAAATGTTAACTACAAAGTAGCCTACGCCTACCTGGCAGAATGATATCATGATTATTTGCATCAATCCAGTGGCCAGTTTTGAAAACTCTGAGTGCTTGCTGGTGGGCACTTACATTAAAGGGTAACTACACCAAAAAATTAAGATTTCTTCCATTTTTCCCAGACTTCAAAAGTGGTATCCTGATGTGGTTTAAGCATTGTTATGGACTTAGAACATCCCATTTTGTTGTTTTCCTATTTAAAAAGTGTCATTTTGAGAGGGAAAACCTGAAAACTAAACGAAATCAGGTACAAAATAAAAACTGATTTTATAGGGTCCTACTTCCTCGACAAATGAATCAGGCTTAGGTCCAAGTCTATTTCAATACCGTCCTTTGAAGCAAGGCTGAAACGGTATATTTATTTTGCAGTGATCCTGCCAAAACAACTACACTTAAACAGAGATTTTGTAAATGAAATGCTTTGATTTCCTTGAATACTCTAATTTCAATCATTGGCAGATATCCTTACACAATGTAACTCGATGTTAACAGGATGCAGAATACAGAGGAAATGACTTTCTGAGAGTCAATATTGTGAAGGAATAGGAGGGCCAAAACTTCACAGCTGCCATAGACAGACACCAGAGAACCCCAGAAGGGGAGAGTTGTGTTGTGCCTAATGTTTCACTCTGTATGCAGGCACTCCTCTTGGTAATCAGTCATTGAGGTCATGCAAAGATCAGCGGAGTGAATCATTATTTCTGTTCTATCACTACATTTGCTGGGCTGAGACATAGCTGGTTAGGCAGGAACCTGCTGAGGTTAAGCAACATGATTGTCTTATAGTGTTGTGTGTGTGTGTGTGTGTGTCTGAGCATGTATGTGTGTCTGAGTGTGTACGTGTGTTTGTATAAGGGTGTGTGTGATTATGTGTAAGCACATAGAGAGACTAAGTCATGGACTAACCGTGTGTGATAACATCCATTCATCAATATGGAGGGGCTTTGTGTTGATATGAAACAGTGACACAGCTCAGCTCTAACTGAATACAAACAACTCTTCCAGTGGAAACACAGCTCTGAGGGAGGCCTGTGTGTGTGTGTGTGTGTGTGTGTGTGTGTGTGTGTGTGTGTGTGTGTGTGTGTGTGTGTAGGGTAATCAGTAACAGAGAGCCTGTTGACTCTGAGATAGCCAGTCTCTTACAGGAATTCAGTGGAGGTGAACTGAAGAAGACAAACAGAATGTACATGCACAAACAAACACATACACACACACACACACTCACTCACTCCGCCCCCCTTGCCCACCACCTGCCCATTGAGGACCGCCACCCAGGAGAGTCATTACCAGTGAGTAATGCTGTGGGCAGTGGAGGCTGGGTTGGGACTCTCACACAGAGTGCAGTAAAACACACTGACAAGCCCAGGACTAAAAGCCTCTAACCACTCTGCCCTGTTTATCCCGTTTCCCCCTTGTCTGTACATGTGTTTTACCTAGGAGAGACTGTCTTGTCTCACTGTTAATGACCTGCTACTGACGCACTGTACCATGCCTTTATATGTGTCCCAAATGGCACCCTATTCCCTATATAGGGCACTACTTTTGACCAGAACCCTATGCCTATGCCCTGGTCAAAGTAGTACACTACATAGGAAATAGGGTGCTATTTGAAATGGAGCCTTCGAGTTAACCACAGTCAAGCCACAGAGGAGCTGCTGCGTGTTGTGTTGTCTCGTCAGAGAGGGGAAAACTGGACTGTAAAGATAAGGGGAGATAGAGGCTATCTAGGCTGAGAGTGTGTGAAGAACCAGCACCTTCACCACAGAGAGAGTGTGTAGAATGTGAGGGGAGGCACATAGGGGGGGGGGTCATTTAGCAGACGCTCTTATCCAGAGCGACTTACAGGAGCAATTAGGGTTAAGTGCCTTGCTCAAGGGCACATCGACAGATTTTTCACCTAGTCGGCTCGGGGATTAGAACCAGCGACCTTTCGGTTACTGGCACAACGCTCTTAACCACTAAGCTACCTGCCGCCCCAGGTGTTGGGAGTGGGACAGAAGGAGACCATAGGTCTAAATAGTCACGGAACGGGGTTTCAGCTATGAAGTGTTGAATGAGACCAGTTAATAAGCAACAAATCCATGACTGGCAAAGACTTTATAGCTACAATGATTACTACATCTGTTATCCATCTGCATAGTTTGATCTCACTGGGAGGTGCTGAAATCCTCTGTACTATAAGAGGTCTGAATGAGATGATTTCACAGCAGGCAACAGCTCTCCAGTCTTGCGACATCAAGATAAGCTCTGTGTGATGGGCCTATTTTAGCTTTCTGACAATGCAGGAAATTACAGTGATGGGAAAAACACATTTTTTTTCACCTGAGTGAGTCTGATCACAAGTCAGAGACCACTATGATGACACACCAAATGTGTTTGATGGATCCTTTTTGTCTTCTTCTAATGAATCTTAAAGGGGCAGTGCAGTTAAAAACAAATTTCAACACTATGAAGTTCAAATAACACTCTGAAATGGTGAAAATTATGACAGTGCCCTTTTTATGTAAGAGCTGTATGAAAAAGAATGCCTGGAATTTCAGCCTGCTCAGGATGGAACTTTTGGCCCACATCATGACATCACAATGATCGGATTATAATAGACCAATGACTGTTCATCTGGGTAAGGGGGTGGGCTCTTGACCATCCTATCAGCCAATCAGGGATGTGTATGTAAACATCTTCAGATTGGTTTCCTAACGCCCACACGATCAGACTGAGCATGTCAAAGGCTAAAAGAGGCTCAGGGAAATAAATGATAAAGAAATATATATTTTGGAGCTATTTTCATAAAATAAACACAGTGATGTATTAGACATAGAGTGATGCAAAAATACAATTACAAAGACTGCATGGGGGCTTTAATAGGAAAGTCATCAAAAGTTATCAGATTACATTACGGGGTTTGTGTAATTCAAAAGTTACATTACCAATTACAATTTTGGACAGGTAAATAGTAAATAACTGATTACATTTAGAAAGTAACCTACCAAACCCTGGCCATATGTTACATTTTGAGTAACTAAAAAAATTATGCCAGAATACCACACGCAAGCACACACACACAGGCCTGTCCTTACCTGGGTGGTAGGGGTCCACACAGTGCCTGGCAGCAGTTGGTGAATATGTTTCCGTAGCTGTAGGGGTTATAATTGCCTTTCCCTCTTTTAGACGACCACAACCCTTTTATCTGAAACAGAAACACAACAGTCACAGTCAGTGCGGTGATGGAGCAGTTAAAACTTTAAAAAAGAAAGATCAATTTTCTTAGACTTTTGTTCAGGGGAACTTTCTGTTTTTTCTGTCTGTGTGTAACTAATGTCCCAGACAAGCAGGTCTACAGTGGTGAGTGATGAGGCAAACTGCTTGGAAATAAATGAGGTCAAAGCTAAGAGATCTGGCTGTCTTCCACTCAACCATCTATCCTCTAGAGGAAAAACTCAACTTGCTGCCTGGGTCTAGTAGTGTCTATGTGTAATCTGGTAGGAGACAGGAGAAGGCTGGGGGTTTAGTAGTGTCTATTTGGTAGGAGACAGGAGACGGCTAGGGGTTTAGTAGTGTATATGTGGTAGGAGACAGGAGAAGGCTGGGGGTTTAATGGTGTATATGTGTAATCTGGTAGGAGACAGGAGAAGGCTGGGGGTTTAGTAGTGTATATGTGGTAGGAGACAGCAGAAGGCTGGGGGTTTAGTAGTGTCTATGTGGTAGGAGACAGCAGAAGGCTGGGGGTTTAGTAGTGTATATGTATAATCTGGTAGGAGACAGAAGAAGGCTGGGGGTTTAGTAGTGTATATGTGGTAGGAGACAGCAGAAGGCTGGGGGTTTAGTAGTGTATATGTGTAATCTGGTAGGAGACAGAAGAAGGCTGGGAGTTTAGTAGTGTATCTGTGTAATCTGGTAGGAGACACAAGAAGGCTGGGGGTTTAGTAGTGTATATGTGGTAGGAGACAGGAGAAGGCTGGGAGTTTAGTAGTGTATATGTGTAATCTGGTAGGAGACAGAAGAAGGCTGGGGGTTTAGTAGTGTATATGTGTAATCTGGTAGGAGACAGAAGAAGGCTGGTAGGGACAGAAGAATGCTGGGGTTTAGTATGTCTAAGTGTATTCCTGGTAGGAGACAAAGGAGGCTGGGGGTTTATTAGTGTATATGTGTAATCTGGTAGGATGACCAGAAGAAGGCTGGGGGTTTGAGTCGTGTTATGTGTATCTGTTAGGATACAGAAGGACGGCTGGGGTTTAATGTAGTGTATATGTGTAATCTGGTAGGAGACATAAAAGTCTGGGGGTTTGTAGTGTATATGTGTAATCTGGTAGAGACAGAGAAGGCTGGGGGTTTAGTAGTGTATATGTGTAATCTGGTAGGAGACAGAAGAAGGCTGGGGGTTTAGTAGTGTATATGTGTAATCTGGTAGGGGACACAAGAAGGCTGGGGGAATGGAGGAACCCTGCAGGTACTGGATGTCTTACAGACAAGAACTTCAGCACTTAAACACCTACCAATCCTCTTAACTTGTGACGCAGTGTGTGTGTGTGTTGTGTACATGTACTCACATCTTCGTTTGTGGTCTGGTTGGAACTGATCAGGTATGTGTGGAACCCAGAGAGGCCCACTATGGACCAGACAGAGAAGAAACACACCACCACCTCCAGCACAGTGACCAATGGGTTAAGGAATATCGGAGACACACACAGTCAATATGTTACAGCTGAGTAAGATAATACCTGCACGCTCTTATTGACAGAGAGAGACAAAAACACATCTGCTCTCTTTCCCTCACAGACACACACCAAACAAACGCAGAGCATAGGAAAGGACATAGGCCTAAACATTATACCAACAGCTATGGATTGACCTTCTGCTAATGCCTGTCCTGGCCTTCTGTCCATTTGACTGAAAACAGCAGTGGTAGTACAGTGGAACAGTAGCATCAAAGAGCAGGATCAGAATAAGGAACAGTGGTAGATCAGAGTGAGAGGAGTTATGCAACCGTGTGTCCCTTGGGCTTCCTGTCATTCTGTCCTGTGCCAGCCTTGCATGCACATACAGACACAGAGGCTTACTGACATCGGGCAGGACAGAGTTAATCAAATGACACTCTACTCCAGGATTACTTTTTCATGCCAACCCCTCTCTCTCTCTCAAGGACAAGCATAGGTCATCATTCACATTCAGGAGACTGGTGAGATGTTATCAGGCCTCATTCCCCTGCCTGCCTTTTTAAAGCTCTGTGCTGCTGTACGACATTAGGCTGCTGTGTTATCAGCTGAGCCCGCCACGCGGTTCCTCACCAGCAGGCGCGACGTGCTCCTTATCTCGCTGAGAGAGGAGAGAGTAGCAGCATGCCTACACAGACAAATGAAGCCCTGCAGACAGAGAGACAGACACTCGCACATCAAGCAGCCTGGCTGGCAGTTTATTGGAGACACTCTGAATTGGAGAATACAGTCTACAGTCGTCTGATGGATAAGCGGCATGGAGGGGTGACTAGAGACACCGTCTTTCCTATGACCTCACATTAATAGAGGTTACAGAATAGTTGTAGAAAAGCGCAATAGTGAGGCTTTACATAAGACGATTTGTAACTAAAAAGCATTCTAAAAACTACATCCATGTGACATGTGACCAGGGGGGAAAAAAACACTTCTCGCCCCAAATTGTTCTCAGAAACTGTTGCGCAGAGACTATGGGTTAGCTAGCTTCTGCAGTCTTTTGAACAGTAGTAACAACAGGGTCAACCACAGGGTCAGCTAGAGTCACCCTCCTTGTCCTCTCCACCCCAGGCAGCTGTCAACCTCTGGGAGGACACGACATGACAAATCCTGCTGTTTGGAACGCAGCAACCGCTGAGGGAGGATGGAAGGAGAGAAATACTGTGGATGAGGAGGGATGGAGGGAGAGAGAAAGCCAGGGAGACAGAGGCACCTGTTGCGTGTCATGTAAGCCTTTCAGAGTAGGAGTCATCAGGGACAACAGTCATGCACAGCACAGCTGAGGAACAGAACAGGTCACAGCATGGCAGAGACAGGGAGTGGTAGGTAAAATGCAATTGCCAGGGAATGGCACAGACCTGACATCAAGGGTAACATGATACATGCACACACACAATTTGCATATAGATCACTATTGTGAGAAAGGATATCTGGCAGGACTGTCTTTGAGTGTGTTGAGGAACCCATGTTGATGGGATCCTGCAGAGAGAGACAAGAGGAGAGTTTAATGACAGTTAAAAACTTTCAACAAAAAAAAAAAAATGTCTTTAATCCGATTCCTCGCTATCATATCACTGACAAATTAGCTGTGAATCATGGCTGGCAATTAGGTCAGCCACAGAGCTTGGCTTTGAATGGAGCTAAGCCAGATGTACTGTAGGCTGGTAGGGGATAAGGCCTAATACCCTCAAAGCTGACAACATACAACATACCAGTATGAAGGTCAAACCACTAAACACCTACAATATCTGAATCTCACACAATGCTAGGGAGTGACAGCCTCTCTCAAAAAGAGACAACACCGTCAGTCTACAGTGAAATGCTTTGACTAATAGGCTAGGTTTATGAATGTGCCGAGCGCAGCAGAAGGGAGGGCACCTGCCTGTATTGGCACCTAACAGAGTGATACGCCTTCAGTGTGCCTAGGTCTACACAGAATAATGCAGGGTGGATTGGATATCATATGCCATAAACACTTAGCTTCTCTATTCAAACCAAATGGGCGAGGTCAGCAAGTATGCCGAGGCTGAGCCAGACAGAGCACACCCACTTTAATTGCCATTACATTTGAACTGCCATCTGGGAAAGGGAGGATAGAGAGGGAGCACAATCCAATATGGCCGTCTAGCCCAATTCGGTCACCAGAGACATATTGATCCTCATGTTTCTCATCTTATCCATAACAGTGACAGGTGTTTCTAGCTAGGTACCCTCCACAGCTCCTCTGAGAGGACGACTGTAATTATATCGGCTGTACAGGAGAGAGGCGTGTTAACCTTGCTGTAGAGATGGGGGCAGACTCAATCTAAAACATTGTAAACAGAGCAGACTTCTCTGAAAGAAGGAGACCACTATTTCTATTTCACCCATGCCCACAAAGTCAATATTTCACAATCTAGAGAAGGATACAAAAGAAACATGAATTGAAGAGAGTATTCTCTGTTGGTTAATGTGTCTTTATTTTCTTCTGTTTGTTTTCCCAGCCCAGCACACATCCACCCACTCTCCCACCCACCCACCCACTCTCCCACCCACCACACACACATCAGAAGTCCACTATCTGCCTGGTATGGCAACTGCTTGGCCTCTGACCGCAAGGCACTACAGAGGGTAGTGCGTACGGCCCAGTACATCACAGGGGCAAAGCTCCCTGCCATCCAGGACCTCTATACCAGGCGGTGTCAGAGGAAGGCCCTCAAAATTGTCAAAGACTCCAGTCACCCTAGTCATAGACTGTTCTCTCTGCTACCGCACGGCAAGCGGTACCGGAGTGCCAAGTCTAGGTCCAAAAGACTTCTCAACAGCTTCTACCCCCAAGCCATAAGACTCCTGAACAGCTAATCATGGCTACCCGGACTATTTGCACTGCCCCCCCACCCCATACTTTTTACGCTGCTGCTACTCTGTTAAGTATTTATGCATAGTCACTTTAACTCTACCCACATGTACATATTACCTCAACTACCTCAACTAGCCGGTGCCCCCGCACATTGACTATGCAACGGTACCCCCCTGTATATATAGCCTCCCTACTGTCACTTTATTCTATTGTATATATAGCCTCCCTACTGTCACTTTATTTTTACTTCTGCTCTTTTTTTCTCAACACTTTTTTGTTGTTCTCACACTTGGGGGGATGGTAAGGAGCCATAATACTGCTGGGCTTCACAACGCCCACTTACAGCCTGCTGGCTGGCTGCTCCAACACAACCAGGATCAGATGAAGAGGAAGAGGTGTGTGTGTGTGCTCTTTATTGGCCACTACTTACGCAGGATGACGTGTGTGATGACAAAGGCGAAGATAAAGATTGTGAGGAAGGAGAGGGAGAGGATGAACATGTAGAAGAAACGGTAGTTCCTCTTCCCAACACAGTTCCCCACCCAGGGACAGTGGTGGTCGAAACGCTCTGCGGAGAGAGAGAGACTTGCATTAAAGACACATTAAGCAAGTGCAACAATGCTTGGGAAAGAAACACACAGCGGGAAAAGGGGAGGGTCCAGAGAGAGCGAGATAGAATGACAGAGAGCGTGGCAAAGAAAGAGAGAGAACGACAGAGAGAAATAATGAGAGAGAGAAAAAGAGAGAATGACAGAGGAAGAATAAGCTGTAGCTGGAATATTAACATAGAGTTTACTATAGCTTTGAGGCACTGCCAACCTGCCAGTGAGAGGAAGCTGGCTGCAGGTACAAAAGGCACACAGTATGTCAAGTTTAAACCATGCCCACACACAGTTTACTGTTGCCACCTTGATGCCAAATTAAAGGTTGCGATTTTGAGTTACAAGTGCCTGTCACACAGAGACAGCACTGTGCCTTCCTGACTCCTTAACCACACTCCTACCTAAACCTCCCTGGCAGAATGTGAACTGTGATTATAATGGCAGTGATCCACATCCCACATTACATGTACATTATAGGAAGTAAGCGTTCCCTTTGAGCCCTGGCATGATTAGTTAATCTTTCAGACTGCTGCTGCTGCCTATTCAAATAGGACCTATTACACAGAGGGGAGGGAGGGAGGGAGGGAGGGAGGCTGCCATGGAAGCTGTGTGCCCATATCCAAACTCTGCTGCTGAGTTTAGTTGGTCTGTGAATGAGTGGTACTGTGGGCACATGGATAATAGCATCATATGAGACCTCCATTAGGGACTTTGGTGACTGTGTGAGGACTTTGAGCTGACAGGTGGGAGAGGACCATTATAGTGGAGTCCAATGTGCTGGTACTGTTACCAGGCTGACAGCTTCAGACACCACTCTTCAATGTTACCAGGCTGACTGCTTCAGACACCACTCTTCAATGTTACCAGGCTGAATGATTCAGACACCACTCAGTACTGTTACCAGGCTGATTGCTTCAGACTCCACTCAGTACTGTTACCAGGCTGACTGCTTCAGACACCACTCTTCAATGTTACCAGGCTGACTGCTTCAGACACCACTCAGTACTGTTACCAGGCTGACTGCTTCAGACACCACTCAGTACTGTTACCAGGCTGACTGCTTCAGACACCACTCAGTACTGTTACCAGGCTGACTGCTTCAGACACCACTCAGTACTGTTACCAGGCTGACTGCTTCAGGCACCACTCAGTACTGTTACCAGGCTGACTGCTTCAGACACCACTCAGTACTGTTACCAGGCTGACTGCTTCAGACACCACTCAACACACCTCTAAGATATGCCTGGGCATGTAAATACACAATATAATAAAAGGCAGGTGCATTTCAGAACTTAGCTTTAAACTGTTGTGTAAATACTTTTTTTGTCCATTAAAATAACATCAAATTGATCAGAAATACAATGTACACATTGTTAATGTTGTAAATGGCTATTGTAGCTGGAAACGGCAGATTTTTAATGGAATATCTACATAGGCGTACAGAGGCCCATTATCAGCAACCATCAGTCCTGTGTTCCAATGGCACGTTGTGTTTGCTAATCCAAGTTTTTCATTTTAAAAAGGCTAATTGATCATTAGAAAACCCTTTTGCAATTATGTTAGCACAGCTGAAAACTGTTGTGCTGATTAAAGAAGCAATTAAACTGGCCTTCTTGAGACTAGTTGAGTATCTGGAGCATCAGCAGTTTGTGGGTTCGATTACAGGCTGAAAATGGCCAGAATCAAAATACTTTCTTCTGAAACTTGTCAGTTTATTCTTGTTCTGAGAAATGAAGGTTATTCCATGCGAGAAATTGCCTAGAAACTGAAGATCTCGTACAACGCTGTGTACTACTCCCTTCACAGAACAGCGCAAACTGGCTCTAACCAGAATAGAAAGAGGAGTGGGAGGCCCCGGTGCACAACTGAGCAAGAGGACAAATACATTAGAGTGTCTAGTTTGAGAAACAGATGCCTCACAGGTCCTCAACTGGCAGCTTCATTAAATAGTACCCGCAAAACACCAGTCTCAACGTCAACAGTGAAGAGGCGACTCCGGGATGCTGACCTTCTAGGCAGAGTTGCAAAGAAAAAGCCATATCTCAGACTGGCCAATAAAAAGATTAAGATGGGCAAAAGAACACAGACATTGGACAGATTGTGAAACATTTTTATGGACAGACAAATCAAAGTTTGAGGTGTTCGGATCACAAAGAAGAACATTTGTCAGACGCAGACCAAATGAAAAGATGCTGGAGGAGTGCTTGATGCCATCTGTCAAGCATGGTGGAGGCAATGTGATGGTCTGGGGGTGCTTTGGTGGTGGTAAAGTGGGAGATTTGTACAGGGTAAAAGGGATCTTGAAGAAGGAAGGCTATCACTCCATTTTGCAACGCCATGCCATACCCTGTGGACGGCGCTTGATTGGAGCCAATTTCCTCCTACAACAGGACAATGACCCAAAGCACAGCTCCAAACTATGCAAGAACTATTTAGGAAAGAAGCAGTCAGCTGGTATTCTGTCTATAAGGGAGTGGCCAGCACAGTCACCAGATCTCAACCCTATTGAGCTGTTGTAGGAGCATCTTGACCGTATGGTACCTAAGAAGTGCCCATCAAGCCAATCCAACTTGTGGGAGGTGCTTCAGGAAGCATGGGGTGAAATCTCTTCAAATTACCTCAACAAATTGACAACTAGAATGCCTAAGGTCTGCAAGGCTGTAATTGCTGCAAATGGAGGATTCTTTGACGAAAGCAAAGTTTGAAGGACACAATTATTATTTCAATATAAAATCATTATTTCTAACCTTGACAATGACTACATTTCCAATTCATTTTGCTATATTTCCTATTCAAACTCATTTCATGTATGTTTTCATGGAAAACAAGGACATTTTAAGTGACCCCAAACTTTTGAACGGTAGTGTATGTCAAGATGATCAATAATTTGCATGCTGTATCAGGGAACTGGGAGAGAAGCTTATGGAAGAGAGAAAAACAAACAGAGAATGTTATGAGGAGGTATTAGTGGGATGGGAGCTGGGTAGAGGAGGAGAGGAAGAGAGGAGTTGGCAGGGCCTCTCCTCACAGCCATGTGTTCTGTGTCGAGGAGGTTGAGAAGAACCCTAGGCCAGTCATTGAATCTCAGGCAGGCCAGACAGAGAGAGAAGAAGCCTAGAGAGCAGGCTCACTGCTCACGTGGAAGAGAGAGAAGCAAATCCTCCTGTTTCTTCCTCCATTACCTCGGGGAGTGGCCCGTTTTTCTGCCACAGTCAGAATGACAGAAAGAGGGGATAGGAGAGATAGGGTGCACTGCAGGTGGGTGGAGAAGAATGGATAGAGGGAGCTAGAGAAGGAAGCCCAGAAAGTTGTTGTTCAGTGGGTACAACAGAACACGCCACGGTGGGTGATTCACATAGTGAGTTATGAAACAGGGAGTGGGGGGGGGGGATTCTGTTCTCATAATAAAGGTTATATCATCTATCTTCCTCGGCTCTGCGAGGCATTAATGAGCCAATAAATCCCTGGCCATATGGGAACCATCTCTGGGAACAGGACAGGCAAACACAACAGGAGGGAGGCTGAGCAGTGCTCACTGAGTCTCAGGTGGGCCTGGAGGGGAGGCTGGAAGGCCCATGGTTGATCTGTGGAACACCCTAGCAGTAGATAACTCTATTAAACATTCCTATGGAGAGATATCCCTGTGACATGACATAGCTTTTAGCTACGTGTACATGCAGAGCACACAAACAAAAAGGGACATACAAATAGATATGCACACACAAGCAAACACACATCCACTTCACCTTCAGTCCGCCCACCCTCCCAGCATGTGTGCGGTCCTAACTATATGACTTACCGACACAGTTGTCACAAAGGCTGCAGTGAGAGGCACGCGGTGGTCTGAAGATCTTACAGGTGAAGCAGTACTTGAGCTTGACTGTCTGCCCATTGATGACCACCTCTCTCGTCCTGGGGGGCGGCCGGTACCCCGAACTGGAACCGTTGGCTACGTCTGTCAGGGAGAAGAAGGGGGTATCATTAGCCTTAAATCGCATGGAAATTAAATTGCAGTGTGCTACTTTTGGCAAACAATACGCTGTAATCCTAGCCTCATTCATTGTCATGTCAAATGATGCTATTGAAGAGTTGGCTAGTTACACAGCATGGGAGGAGGGTACTACTATCCAGCACAGAGCTGGCACTGTAGAGCGGTACAGGGTCTACGTCCATACTAGTCTCTACAGGAACCAAAGTGAAGTCAGAATAGAACGGCGACTTTAAAGTAGACCTATTTGTTAGTATAGTTCTGGTCATGTGAAAAGTAGAAGTGAAAAGCCATTTAAAATATGTTGGTTCATTCATCTCTGAAAGCAGAAACAGAAAGAGCCAGAGAAGTCTAACTGTTCAGCACCTTCTCTCACGACGTCACACTGTGACTGTTCTATTCTGACCTGCTCAGAGCAACATGCCCTTCACTCTGCTCTCTGGTCACAATGAATGTCTCAGCTGGAGGAAACTCAATATGGCAAGCAAACAGGTTATTTTCTCTGCAGAAATACATGCTTTTCCCCTCAGAGTGGTGTTCAAACAGCTTTGTAGCAGGGAGGATGATTGAGATGATGAGCGGAGAGATATTGTTGTGCGGATGATTATGGTAATTTGAAAAGCACAAAAGGTATAACCAATTCCCCATTACTGTCAAGCTCACTTCTGTAGGTCTCACTTGTGTGTGTGTATGTATGTATGTATGTATGTATGTATGTATGTATGTATGTATGTATGTATGTATGTATGTATGTATGTATGTATGTATGTATGTGTGTATGTGTGTGTGTGTGTGTGTGTGTGTGTGTGTGTGTGTGTGTGTGTGTGTGTGTGTGTGTGTGTGTGTGTGTGTATATGCATGCAGATCATGGTGTGCCTCTGAGCCCAGTGGCAGAGCTGGAGTGGTGTGTATGTGTGTGTGCGCGCAACTCAACAGGAGGAGCACAAGGGTCTCTTTTCAGCCAATGTTCAGTGTGATCAAAGCACCCCCTCCATCCTCTCCTCCTCTGTACAGAACGAGGGACCGAGTCAAACACGGAGTGAGTGAAAGAGTAGGAGGAGAATTAGTATCTCAACATCCATCAAAGAGCGCTTCCAACAGAGAGAGTAGAAACCCCAGAAGAGGTCGCTGAACTGAACACTATTCATCCTCTGTGTGGTACAGTAACACACTGTAATGTACTGAGCTCAATAAAGAGAGCCCACTCATCATTATTCTATTGAAACATGGGCTAATAATATTCTAAAAGAACTCCTGTCATTCTTCACTAGGGTTATGGTGCTGACGTCTATAGACGGGTTGGCTGACAACGTCATGAAAATTGAAAATGATGTGCACGCATCGGTGGCCGGAAGGCGTGCTTTGTTATGATTCTGAACGGTCAGATAGCTAGCAACAATGACAACAAGCTGCCATGTGGGGAATTGTAGGTGGCTCGTTTCAACTTGTATTTTATTATTGATACCATGTATTTTTGTCATGTCTATGCTAATATAGCGAAAAATAGCTAGCTAGCTAACCAACAACTGTAATTATGTATTTGAGAGACAACAAGTGCTCATTGTGTAAATGTATTTGTTTTCAATAAAGACTTGGAGACAAAATATACACTGAGTATACAAAACATTAAGAACACCTGCTCTTTTAAAGACAGACTGACCAGGTGGATCCAGGTGAAAGCTATGATCACTTATTGATCCACTTCAATCAGTTTAGATAAAGGGGAGGAGACAGGTTAAAGAGGGATTTCTAAGCCTTGAGACATGGATTGTGTGTGTTCCATTCAGAGGGTGAATGGCAAGACAAAAGATTTAAGTGCCACTGAACGGGGTATGGTAGTAGGTGCCAGGCGCAACAATTTGTGTCAAGAACTGCAACACTGCTGGGTTTTTAATGCTCAACAGTTTCCTGTGTGTATCAAGAATGGTCCACCACCCAAAGGGCATCCAGCCAACTTGACACAACTGTGGGAAGAATTGGATAGAACATGGGCCAGTATCCCTGTGGAACACTTTCGACACCTTGTAGAGTCCATGCCCTGATGAATTGAGGCTGTTCTGAGGGCAAAGGTGGGGTGGGGCAACTCAATATTAGGAAGGTGTTCCTAATGTTTGGTATACTCAGTGTAGTTTACATGTTGTCAACAGTCTAAGCCAACCGCGTTGTTGCTAAACAACCAACCAGTCTATATCAAAACATTATGTCCATAAACGCCGTTCAAGGCCATCAAGTCGACTCTAAAATGAGAAAAGCATTGCAGGATAATGACTATGAAAATCACATCTAGCCTCACAAACATTAAAATCTCCCTCGTTCTCTGATGTGTCCTTCAAGCACAACGCCATTGTCTGTGATGAACAACTAATGAAATGTTCATGGACTGACTGGGCATGGAGCCCAGACTACTGCTGCCACTTCTCACACACATTACTCACTCCATTCACTCAGCTAGACCACCAGCATCAACTGGAAAGCCACTGGCCAGCTACCACTGTATCAACATGTACTGTAAGATGAAAGATTAACAGACAAACAAGGACGGCTAACATTAAGTGTAGCTGTGAGGTTGACCATGCGGTAGGATTAACAGTGAGGAGGCATACAAGGAAGAAGTGGTTTTTCTTGCCCAGAGTGAGGCTTTTATTAGCAAACGTGAAGATACTAAGCCGGCGACTGTACAAGTATTTACAAAAACAAATAAACAGGACGATGAACAAAAAGTAGGTCTAAGCAACTCAAAAGAAAACCCAGGCTCAATAATTGCCTGTTAACTTGTCACCCGTCTGTGAAGTGCTCCCTCCCTCCCTGCTCTCAGCCACAACTTCTAGTTTACTGTCTGTTCACACTTCAGACACCTCCAGGATGAGAGGGGATATAAAACAAGCAGAATATTCCTTATTTCACAGTTTGGATCTAGGCCTAACAGTACTTTTTCTTTCCGAGACAGAGAGGATGGAGCTGGAAGGATGAGGGTAGTGATAAGAGGGGTTGATGAGGGCAGTGGTACAGCTAACCAGCACACAGAGAGGCATAGGAGAGACTAAAGGAGGATTCAATGTCGGCCAAAGCGTCTGCCCGGCCCAGGCCCATCTCGACGGGGTATAAAGAGAATGTAATTGCTATCCTGCAGGGATAGGGAGAGGATGAGAACAGGGCATTAGCAGATGGACCTTTACTCACTGACAACACAACAGAACCCTTACCTCAGGCTTAATAAGACCATGACCTGAGACACTGGACTTAAGATTCTGGACTTAAACGACGCACAAAGAGAAGGGTAGCCTACATACAAGTGCTTACTTCTGTTTTCTGAAAGTCAAGTCAACATCACAAAAAGTAAATGGGATAATAGGCTATTATTAGGCCCATTATTTTCACACCCCTGCGGAGCAAAGCCAAACACTCCAGACCCCATCTCATCTTGACAGGCCATCCTTCATCTTTCAGTGTGTGTGTGTGTGTGTGTGTCAGTCACACTCAGGTCAGACTGTTCTCTCTTCAGGTGGCTCCAGGGCTCGGCACCACTCAGGCGTCACCATGGCAACGGTCCCAATGAGCCCCTGCAAGACTGTCAATCTGGATAAGTTTGTCAGTCTGGAGTTGTGTGCCCTAAGCAGTTGGTGTCGACTTAAACCCTCAGAGAGACTGCTTTAAAGGAGAGTTTCCATCTATATGGTGGATGCCTTCTGTAAATGTGCCTTTCACATCAGTGCAGATGAGGGACAATGAGAAGACACCCTGCTATGTGTGACTATTTAGGAGCATTCTCTGTCTAGCACAGGATGTCCCAGCAGCTGCTGTTGGTTCCTGTACGTCTGTCTGCATGATGAGAGGTAATGAGGCCGATGGGCCCCACAGGGAGACCAGGACAACACAGCCAGATACACTTTCCCTGAGTTAGCACACCCTTTCAGACACAGGCATACTATACTGTACAGTGGTCCGTGTGTGTGTCCAGTATGCAGAGGCATACAGAAGGCAGGTGGCCGTCAGTAACAGCAGAGGCCAACCCAGGCCACTAATTGCTCAACAACTTATGCTTTCCTTTCTCTCTTTGTCTGGTCCCATTTGGTAAATTCAACTGGCTGCAATTACTGTCCCAGCAGCAGCAGTTCTATTCATGTGCCATGCGGCTCCATCTAAAAGGCCTCATCAGACGGCCTTTTATCTCCCCGTCAGCGGGACTAATCATCATCCTCAAGACAAGCCAACAAAAGACCTGAGAGAGACCAGAGACAGGAAACCATCTCCCAGAGGAAACCAACGCTGGCCGGACATAAAGGGATTGAAATGCATTAAAATGCAGAAATAGGCTATCAAATTGGAGAAACATCAGGTAGGGTAGGTTTTAATAAAATGTTGTTTGTGGTACTGTGTGAGTGTGTGTGTGTGTGTGGTGTACTGTGTGAGTGTGTGTGTGTGAGGGTACTGTGTGAGTGTGTGTGTGTGGGGGGTGGGAGGGTACTGTGTGAGTGTGTGTGTGTGGGGGGTGGGAGGGTACTGTGTGAGTGTGTGTGTGTGGGGGGTGGGAGGGTACTGTGTGAGTGTGTGTGTGTGGGGGGGTGGGAGGGTACTGTGTGAGTGTATGTGTGAGTGTGTGTGGGGGGTGGGAGGGTACTGTGTGAGTGTGTGAGTGTGGGGGGTGGGAGGGTACTGTGTGAGTGTATGTGTGAGTGTGTGTGGGGGGTGGGAGGGTACTGTGTGAGTGTGTGAGTGTGTGTGTGTGGGGGGTGGGAGGGTACTGTGTGAGTGTGTGTGTGCGTGCGTGAATACTGATTACATAACTCCTGTTCTGGATGTCGAGGCTTCCACAGACAGAGAAACAGTTAGTTGAAGGGCACTTTCTCTTCAGCGGGTAGCAAAGTGGGTTTCCTAATGGTGATAACACTGAGCATCTACTATGACACACTCATATACTTCCTACTGCCCCAGGCCGCAGGCACACACCCTGGTAACTGTACACTTGGACCAGGTCCAAAGCACCCGTGTAACTCTTCATCTCAGGACACTGTAGGGCTGAGCGATATGGCAAAATTATCATATCATGGTATTTAACATTTATTTTACTGTATTTTATGTTTTGGAGTAATAAAAGTTCTACATTTGCTTTATGCGTAGTGCGTGACCCTAGGGTGACAACACATACAGTACATTCTAAGTGATTTTAATGGGTCTTTCTCCATTCTGATTGTTTTCTACTGTTCAATTCAACCAAAAATAATTTTCACCATTTATCAATTTCTGCATTTCCTGCACTCATTTGAGATCATTTCCACACTACCACGTAGGGCTGCACAATATGGGCAAACAATCTAGGCCTTATTTTTAACCAAATGTTGCAATTGCGATTTGACTTGCGATTTAGAAAAAACACTTGGGTGAACTGTTGGAATCATGGAAATAGAATGATTATTCTTTAATTTTATAGTTAGAATATAATAGTGGGCACTTTGAATACAGTGTTGTTTGACATGACAATGAATTAAAATACCAGGGAGGAGGTATTGTGACAGGGTAGGAACCAAAGTGTTGATAAGTGTTTCCTAGGGGACCCTATAATCTTTGGCTACATTTAATGTTCTCTCTTAGCTACTTCATGTAGCTAACATATTCTTGCTTCGCATATTCCTCTTTGATTTAAAAGATACTGTTGCTGATAACTGGGTCACTGTATGGGCAACCAATTACTATCTTAAACATATACGCCCCTAACACAGATACTCCTGCTTTTATGTCGAAAATGATAACTCTGTTCAATGAGCATTGTGTTTCCTTTGGAGTGTTGGCCGGAGATTTTAATTGTACCCTGAACCCAACCCTAGACAAATCATCTCAAATCACCACCACAAATCCTAGATCTGCAAAGATGTTGAACTCTCTTACTAAAGAGATGGGACTGATAGATATCTGGAGAGAGACTAATAGCTCAGCTATGGACTATACATACTACTCTAATGTCCATAACACCTACTCCCGTATAGATTACATTTTTATCCCAAAGAGTTTCATAAATTCAGCCACGTGTACAATCGGACCCATAGCGCTTTCGGATCACGCCTTTGTCCACCTCCGCTTTGACCTCTGCAAAAACATCCCGAGATCAAAGAGCTGGAAATTCAACACCTCCATGCTATCAAACGAAGCATTCCATACATTGGTAACTACATGGATAGACAACTACACACAAGACAACAAAGATTCTCCTGTTTCTCCGGCCACAATGTGGGACGCTGCTAAAGCCACACTAAGAGGTCATCTAATTGCATATGCTTCCTCTAAGAAAAAAGCAATGGAAGCACACAGGCTAGATCTGGAGAGGGAGCTGGAACGCTGTGAAAAAGTACACAAACAATCCCCAGACAGCACCTCCTGGAGTCAACTTAAAGCAGCCAAAGCCAAACTGAATTTGGACTATACTCGGGAGATTAAAAAAAAAGTTTTCTTTACTAAACAGAAATACCATGAGTATAGCAATAGGCCTAGTAGATTGCTTGCTTATCAATTAAAAAAAGAGCAGTCAGAGCGTACAATTATGGCTATCCGAACAGCAGAGGATGAGGTCACATATGATCCAAAAAAGATCAATTTAACTTTTCATGATTTTTACTGCAAACTATATACCTCTGAGAGAAAACACACGGAGGCAGAACTCCACTCCTTCCTAGAGGGAATCTCGCTACCTAAACTATCAGAGACCGACCAAGAAGATCTCAACTCCCCCTTCACTCCTGAGGAGATCCTGGAGGCAATTACCTCCATGCCACCTAACAAGTCCCCAGGCCCAGATGGATTCCCCAGAGAGTTCTACAAAGCTTTTTGGCCCCAGCTTAGCCCTATTTTCATGCCAATGCTGGAGGATTTTTGCAAAAACGGAGTTCTCCCAGACTCAATGCACACAGCTCGCATTACAGTGTTGCTCAAAAAAGACAAGGATCCCCTATCCTGCTCCTCCTTCCGGCCCATAAGCTTGTTGGATTTCGACTACAAAATAATCACCAAATTGCTCGCCAAAAGACTAAACACTCTTCTTCCCAAAATAATAAAAGCGGACCAGACGGGATTTATTAGAGACAGATACTCTTCTGATAACATTCGCCGTCTTTTTGATATTATTGATCAAGTAAACGCACAGAAGACCCCTGTCCTGCTGGCTTCACTGGATGCTGAGAAGGCGTTCGACAGGATGGAGTGGAGCTTTCTGTTCTCAGTCTTAGAGAAGTTCAACATGGGCCCAAACTTTATTAAATGGATCAAATCACTATACTCTCATCCAAATGCCATGGTGACTACTAACGGACTGAACTCTGACAGATTCCCTTTGGGACGGGGCACAAGACAAGGGTGCTCGCTGTCCCCCCTGCTCTACTTGTTGGGGGCGGAGCCTCTGGCAGAGTTGATAAGGAGCAATCCAAGTATTATGGGTGTTCCTGCAGGCGGCCTGCAGCACAAGATTTCGCTTTACGCGGATGATGCCTTGCTCTACATATCCAACCCTGAGAAATCCCTTCCTCCCATCTTAGATACAATTGCTCAGTATGGCACGTTTTCAGGTTATAAGATTAATTTTAACAAATCCACTGTCTGCCCTCTCAATATTATACTCACCAGTTCTATGAAGACACTATGCCCATTCCAATGGAAGACACAGGGGTTTCAATACCTTGGGATATTCATAACACCAGATCTGAATAGGCTTTTCAAAGAGAATTATCTTCCACTCCTGGATCAAATCAAGAACAACCTCCAAACCTGGATCTCCCTCCCAATTAGCTTAGTAGGAAGAATTAATGTAATCCGTATGAACATCCTCCCTAGACTGAACTATTTATTTCAGATGCTCCCATGCTATCTCCCAGCTTCCTTTTTCAAAACAATTAACCAAAGCATCACCAAATTTATATGGGGCAATAAAAAACCTAGGATCAAGCTTTCCACTCTATCGAAACCTGAATCTAAGGGTGGTCTTGCCCTTCCCTCCCTTCAATTGTACTACTGGTCTGCCCAAATCCGCAACATGCTAACATGGATCACAAACAGACAAGAGTCAACGTGGAGCCAGATAGAAGCCCAATCTTGTGGTTCATTGCCACTAAGCTCAACTATATTCATTGATAACTTTAGTGA